TATCTGATGAACGTGGCACGCTCTTGCTCTGTAAATAAAGCAAAGCCACTTCCTCGTCCGACATTAAACAGAGCCCGACAGAGGAGGGAGGGGCGGGGAGTCTGTTGCCGTGCAGCGCTTCAAGACCTGTCCTGCGTCTGACCTCAAAGTGCAGAAGCTTCAAACTTGAAGCGTTGGCTGCGATTTTGAAGCTGAAATCGCGTTCGGTGTGAACGCACCATTAAAATCACTCAAAATGCAGTGTTCATAGAGCACCAGCATTATGCAAATCAAGATACATTGTGTTTGTGTGTGCATCAGAAATACATGTGTGAATTATCCTGTACACGTGTGAATTATCCTGTACATGTGTGAATTATCCTGTACATGTGTGAATTATCCTGTACATGTGTGAATTATCCTGTACATGTGTGAATTATCCTGTGCACGTGTGAATCTTGTCCTGTGTGCATTTGTGATGATTGAGACTCTTTTCATTTAGCACCATACATCTTCATCGTCATTCCACACTCAACATTCATACTGAATTTGTGCGAAAAATGCAAATATTTCTAATTATTATGTTGACTGCTCATATTTTTTATTTACTTTATGTATAATAATGTTCCACTTACCAACCACCATGATGTTAAACTCAAAGCCAGCCTTTATGGTCTTGTCTCGTATCTGGTCCAGTACCGCGTCGATGCCCACGTAACCAAACAGGTCAGAGCCTCGTTTGAAACTGGTCTGAAAGCCTGGATCAGATGGGCTGGACACCATGTTCACACTTGCCTCCTCCTTCATATCTCCAGTCTCCATTCCCGTCTCCTTCCCATTCTCCACAAGCTGTGTATCATCTTTCCCGCAATTTTCATTTTGTGCCTCAAAAGTCTGAATGTTTGCTTGTTTGTGGTTTTTGACTCCATCCTCATTTTCTTCTCTCATGATACCTTCCACCTTCTCCTCCTCCATTGGGGTGAATGAGTCTGCCTCCAGCTCTCCAGTGGTTTCTGTAGGCACACAGACATGGACTTAGAATCAAATGAGAAATTAGATTATTATTATTAAGGTGATTTGGAAACTTTTTTGCCACCTGAGTGTTCTGTAATAAAGTCCCTTTTAAAAGAGGGGTAAACCCACTCTCAGGAAGTATACCATTAAATCCCAAGAAAAGTTAGTAGGTCTTGTGGACAGTTTCTTCTTTAATGAAATGTTTCATCTCCTCCAAGAGACTTCTTCAGTCTGAGGAGTTTCAGATAAACTCAGCCTTATAAGCAGTGCCTCCACATAGTGGAAAAACAAGTTTAACAATGACAATCAAAACTGTTTGTTCACATGTAAAAGAGGACCCTAAGCCTAACAATAGATTTTAGTGCCCTGAATATCCCTATTTTTCATAGAGGACCATCAGCCTGACAATCGTTAAGACCCTGATTATCCCTATTGTTCACAGGATGCTGAATCATACTTGCAAAAATAGTAAATGGACTGGACTTATATAGTGCTTTATCAAGCCCCATAGGCACCCCAAAGCTCTTAACACCACAGTCATTCACCCATTCACATAAACATTTACACGCTCTGCACCACCGGACCCTCTGGTGGGTGAAGTGTCTTGCCTAAGGACACAACGACTGAGACGGCTTGAACGAGGGATCCAACCAGCAACCCACAGGTTACAGGACAACTCCCCTAACCCCTCTGCTACAGCCACCCCCAATAACAGCATTGTAAGAGGGGGACAACTGGACACGGAGGCCTCCACCCATTTAATAATGGACATTTTTTCTTCACAAAAATGGCTTCCTTTACTCCTCTCTCAAACACACCTTCCTCTCTATCAAAGATGAGAACATCTTCATCCCTGAAATAGTGACCACTGGCCTGTAGATGAGTGTAAACTGCAGAGTCCTAACCTAATTATGTTGCTCTTCTGTGTTGGCCCACTCTTTTGAACAGTGATTGCTTTGTTTCTCCGATGTAAAATTGGTCACAACATAACTCTGTGCCGGGGGACCGGATGTTTCAGCAGAACCAGTCTTTGCCATAATGTGTTTTGGAGTTTGAAAGCCACTGGGATATTTACTCATAAAGCTGAACTGAAAGAATGATTCTGTTGTCCTATTACTGTGCTTTTTCATATGAGTCATTTTTTTTAAAATTATTTTAGCTAAATTTGTTTTGTTACCACAAAGACTAGAAAATCATCCAGCCAGCCTATTTTCCTCAAGGCCCCCTTTGGTAAATGGTCTGACCTTATAAAAAAGAAAAAAATTGTATAGGTCTTCTGGACAGGTTCTTCTCTAACGAAACGTTGCATCTCTCCTCCAAGAGACTTCTCCAGTCTGAGAGTTTCAGGCAAAATTCAGGCTTTTAAGCACTGCCTCCATGTGACTGATACTCACATCACATGGCTATCGTTGACACCTAATTAACACAACAAAGGCTGGTTCACCCCAAAGATCCGGTGCCCCGGCACAAACAGAGCAATGTTGTATAT